AATAAAAAGGAGGAAAATGGGGAAAGATGAGGAAAAAAGGAAAAGGAAAAAAGGAGGAGGAGAAGGGGAAAGAAATGGGGAAAAGAAGGGAAAAAATGAGGGAAAAGGAATGGAAAAGGATGAAAAGAGCAGGAAAAGGGAAAATGGGAATAAAATGAGGGAAAAGATGGAAAGGAGGAAAAGGGAAAAATGGGGAAAAGAAGGAAGAGAGAGAAGGAGGAAAAGAGGAAAAAGAAAAGGAAGAAGGGAAAAAGGGAAAAAGAGGAGAAGGGGAAAATGAGAGAAAATGAGGGAAGGGAGGAGGAAAAAATAGAAAAAATGGGGAAAAGGAGGAAAATGGGGAAGAAGATGAAAAGGGGGAAAGAGAAGAAGAAGAGGGAAAAGGAGGAGAGGGGAAAAGTAGAAAAATGGGGAAAAAAGGAAAAGTGAGGGGAAAAAAGGAGAAAAATCAGGGAAAAAGGGGGAAAAGGGAGAAAAATCAGGGGAAAGGAAAAGAGGAAAGAGAAAAATCAGGGGAAAAGAGAGGGGAAAAAAGGAGAAAAATCAGGGAAAAAAGGGGGGAAAAAAGGAGAAAAATCAGGAAAAATGAGAGGGGGAAAAAAGAGAAAAATCAGGGGAAAAAAAGGGGAAAAAGAGAAAAATCAGGGGAAATGAGAGGGGGAAAAAAGAGAAAAATCAGGGGAAAAGAGAGGGGAAAAAAGGAGAAAAATTGGGAAAAGAGAGGGGGAAAAAGGAGAAAAATTGGGAAAAGAGGGGAAAAAAGGAGGAAAAGAGGAAAAGGGAGAAGGGGAAAAAGGAGGAAAAGAGGAGAAAAAATAGGGGAAAAGAGAGAGGAAAAAAGGAGAAAAATCAGGGGAAAAGTGAGGGGAAGAGAGGAAAAAGGGAGGAAAAGGAGGAAAGGGAAAAAGAAGGAAAAGAAGAAAAATTGGGGGAAAAATCAGGGAAAAAGAGGAGGAAAAAGGGAGAAAAATTGGGATAAGAGAGGGGGAAAAAGGAGGAAAAGAGGAAAAGGGAGAAGAGGAAAAGAGGAGAAAAATTAGGGAAAAAGAGGAAAAAAGGAGAAATATGAGGGGAAGAGAGAAAGCAGGGAGGAAAGGGAAAAGAAGAAAAATTGGGGGAAAAATCAGGGGAAAAGAAGAGGAAAAAAGGAGAAAAATTAAGGGAAAAGAGAGGGGGAAAAAGGAGGAAAAATAGGGAAAAAGGAGGAAAAAAATCAGGGAAAAAAGGCCCAAAACCCCAAAAAACCAGGGGGAAAAAACCTTGGTGCAAAGCCCATCCCCCCCTTTCCCCAAAAAACCCCCAATCCCCCATTTTCCATTTTCACTCCAAACATTCCGGCGGCGGCGGGGGCGGGGCTGGATATCAAAATTCCCATAAAAAATAGATCCTATATAATAATTTTCTCTCTTTTTTTTTTTTCGTGTCCATCTTTCCCGAGTTTTGGGGGTTGGTTTTTTTTTTGGGAATTCCCGACGTTCCGGGTTCTATTCCGTCAGCAGCTGCTGCAGGAGGCTCTTCCCTTGTCCCGGCGGCGGCGGCGGCGGCGGCGGAGCAGCGGGATTTTTGGGATTGGCCAACGGAGCCGGCGCGTTGAGGTAGGGATCTCCCACCAGATTCACCGTGCACTGCACGTCGGCGAACACCTGCACCTGCTGCACCTGGGCGGAATTCCCAAAAAAAAACCAAAAAGGGGAAAAAGAACAAAAAAAAGGGGATTTAGCGGATCCGGGGAAGGGGCGGGAGCGGGATCTGGGAACTACGTGAAGCTGGAAACTCACTAGAGAACTTCTCCTCTAGTCTGGAGCCACCCCAGAGAAGAACTCTTCGGTCTTCGCGTCCTACAAAAAGAAAAGCGCTGCGGCTCAGTCGGCTCCGGGGGGAAAAATAGTTCGGGAATGCGGAGGGAAAACGGCTCCCGGCGGAGCTGGGGCGGGGCTGGAGGCATCTCAGGGGGGTTGGGGAACGGGGTGGGTGGAGCTGTCCTGGAGTTCCGTGGATGGGGAGGCTCCTGGTGGCTCCCAGCTGCTCATCCGGGAAAAAAAGTTGGGATTTTGGTGGGAAAACGGCTCCTGATGGAGCTGAGATGGGGTTTGGAGGCATCTCCAGGGGTTTGGGGAACAGGGTGGAGGTGGAGCTGTCCTGGATTTTCATGGATTGAGAGGCTCCTGGTGGCTCCCAGCTGCTCATCCGGGAAAAAAAAAGTTGGGATTTTGGTGTAAAAACGGCTCCCTGGGATTATGGAGGAAAACGGCTCTGAACAGAGCTGGGGTGGGGCTGGAGACATCTCCAGGGGGTTGGGGAGTGGAATGGAGACGGAGCCATCCTGGATTTCCGTGGATGGGGAGGCTCCTGGTGGCTCCGGGCACTGATCCAAGGAAAAACTTGGGATTACGGTGGAAAAATGGCTCCAGAACGGAGCTGGGGCAGGGTTGGAGACATCTCAGGGGGTTGGGAACGGGGTGGGTGGAGCCATCCTGGAGTTTTGAAGACTGGGAGGTTCCTGGTGGATGACAGGCATCGATCCAGGGAAAAAAAATTGGGATTATGGCAAAAAAACAGCTCCCAACGGAGCTGGGATGGGGCTGGAGGCATCTCCAGGGGGTTGAGGAACGGGGTGGAGGAGGAGCCATCCCGGATTTTCATGGATGGGGAGGCTCCCAGCAGCTCTGGGCACTGATCCAGGAAAACATTTGGGATTGCGGTGGAAAAACGGCTCCAAATGGATCTGGGGTGGGGCTGGAGGCATCTCAGGGGGTTTGGGGAACGGGGTGGAGGAGGAGCCATCCCGGATTTCTGTGGATGGGAACGTTCCCAGCAGATGCCAGGTGCCGATCCAGTTAAAAAAATTGGGATTGCGGTGGGAAAACGGCTCTGAACGGAGCTGGGGTGGGGCTGGAGGCATCTCCGGGGGTTTGGGAACGGGGTGGAGGTGGAGCCGTTCCAGAGCTTGGAACACTGGGAGGCTCCTGGTGGCTCCAGGAGTTGATCTGGGAAAAACATCTGGGATTATGGAGGAAAAACGGCTCTGAAGGGAGCTGGGGTGGGGTTTGGAGAACCTTCAAGAGATTGGGTAAGGGTGGAGGTGGAGCCTCCTGGATTTCCATGGATGGAGAGGTTCCCAGAGCCTCCGGGCACTGATCCAAGAAAAAACTGGGATTACGGTGGAAAAACGGCTCCAGAAGGAGCTGGGGTGGGGTTTGGAGACATCTCAGGGGGTTTGAGGAATGGGGTGGGTGGAGCCGTTCCAGAGTTTTGGGAATTGGAGGTTCCTGCTGGCTCCAGGAGTTATCCGGGAAAAAAAATTGGGATTATGGCAGAAAAACAGCTCCCAGTGGAGCTGGAGACATCTCAGGGGGTTTGGGAATGGGGTGGGTGGAGCTGTCCTGGAGTTTTGAGGATTGGGAGGCTCCTGGTGGCTCCAGGAGCTGATCCAGAGAAAACATTTGGGATTACAGTGGAGAAACTGCTCCAGTGGAGCTGGGGTGGGGCTGGAGACATCTCCGGGGGTTTGGGAATGGGACTGGTCATGGGGTGGGTGGAGCCTCCTGGATTTTGGGATTCTGTATTCCGTGGATGGGGAGGCTCCTGGTGGCTCCCAGCTGCTGATCCAGGAAAAACATTTGGGATTCTAGTGGAGAAACTGCTCCAGTGGAGCTGGGGTGGGGCTGGAGACATCTCAGGGGGGTTGGGGAACGGGGTGGAGGTGGAGCCATCCCGGATTTCCAGTTCCCGGCGGCTGCGGCAGCAGGAGCGACGTTCCGGGGTTTTTGGATTTGGTGGCGCCGTGGTGGCTTCAACCCAAGGGTGTCACCCAATGGTGTCACCCAACACTGAGGTTACCTTGGTGGCTTCCACCCAGTGGTGTCACCCAGCATCAGTTGGACCTTGGTGGCTTCAACCCAAGGTTGTCACCCAGTGGTGTCACCCAACACCGGTGTGACATTGGTGGGTGGCTTCCACCCAGTGGTGTCACCCAACACTGATAGGACCTTGGTGGCTTCAACCCAAGGGTTGTCACCCAATGGTGTCACCCAACACTGATATGACCTTGGTGGCTTCAACCCAGTGGTGTCACCCAACACCAGTTGGACCTTGGTGGCTTCAAGCTCAAGAGGTGTCACCCGATGGTGTCACCCAACATTGGTGTGACCTTGGTGGCTCCAGCCCCAGGAGGTGACACTCACTGGGTGACACCAACGCTGGTGATACCTCGGTGTCACCCAACACTGGTGGCACCAAGGTGGCTTCAACCCCAAGAGGTGTCACCCAACGCTGGTGGGACCTTGGTGGCTTCAAGCCCAATGGCTGTCACCTGACACTGGTGGGACCTTGGTGACTTCAATCCAAGAGGTGTCACCCAGTGCTGGTGGGACCCTGGTGGCTCCAGCGCCAGGAGGTGTCACCCAATGGGTGTCACCAACACAGGTTGGACTCTGGTGGCTTCAACCACACGGGATGCCACCAACCTCGGTGTGACCATGGTGGCTTGAAGCCCAATGGGTGCCACCCACTGCTGGTGACACCACGGTGGCTCCAACCCCAGGAGGTGTCACCCAAGGGGTGTCACCAAGCATTGGTGGCACCATGGTGATGTCAAGCCCAAGAGGAGTCACCCCCTGGTGTCACCCAATGCTGGTGGCACCGTGGTGGCTCCAACCCCAGGAGCTGCCACCCAGTGGTGTCACCCAACCCTGGTGTGACCACGGTGGCTCCAACGCCGAGGGGTGTCACCCAATGGGCTTGAGGTAACCATGGTGCCACCAGTGCTGGGTGGCCCCCCTTGGGTGACACCTCTTGGGGTTGAAGCCACCAGGGTCACTCCAGCATTGGTGGCACCATGGTGGCTTCAACCCCAGGAGATGTCACCCACTGGGTGTCACCCAACACTGGGGGGACCTTGGTGGCTTCAACCCCAGGAGATGTCACCCACTGGGTGTCACCCAACGCTGGTGGGACCGTGGAGGCTCCACACCCAAGACGTGTCACCCAAGGGGTGCCACCCAACATTGGTTGCACCCTGGTGACCTCAACCCCAAGGGGTGTCACCCAACACTGGTGACAGCGTGTTGGCTTCAACCTCAAGAGCGTCACCCAGGGGGTGCCACCCAGCATTGGTGGCACCACGGTGATGTTAAGCCCAAGAGGTACCACCCACTGGTGTCACCCAGTGCTGGTGGCGCCGTGGTGGCTCCAAGCCCGGGAGCTGTCACCCAATGGTGTCACCCGACATTGGTGTGACCCTGGTGACCTCAACCCCTGGGGTGTCACCCACCACTGGTGGCACCATGATGGCTCCAAACTCAATGGGTGTCACCGTGGTGGCTCTAACCATAATGGGTGCTGCCCGATGGTGCCATGCAATGTTGGTGGCACCCTGGTGGCTCCACCTCCAGGAGGTGTCACCCAGTGGGTGTCACCCAGTGCTGGTGTGACCCTGGTGGCTCCAACCCCAATGGGTGTCACCCAGTGGGTGTCACCCAGCTCCAGCGTGACCATGGTGGCTTCAAGCCCAATGGATGCCACCCAACGCTGGTGACACCATGGTGACTTCAAACCCAAGGGTGTCACCCAATGCTGGTGTGACCTTGGTGATCTCAACCCCAACAGGTGTCACCCAATGGTGTCACCCAACGCTGGTGGCACCATGGTGACGTCAAACCCAAGGGTGTCACCCAATGGATGTCACCCAATGCTGGTGGCACCATGGTGACGTCAAACCCAAGGGTGTCACCCAAGGGGTGTCACCCAATGCTGGTGTGACCCTGGTGGCTTCAAGCCCAATGGTGTCACCCAACATTGGGGTGACCTTGTTCACCTCAACCCCAAGGGGTGTCGCCCAGTGGTGTCACCAATGCTGGTGGCACCATGGTGACTTCAAGCCCAAGAGGTGTCACCCCATGGGTGCCACCCAACACTGGTGTGACCTTGGTGATCTCAACCCCAACAGGTGTCACTCAATGGGTGTCACCCAACATTGGTGGCACCATGGTGACTTCAAGCCCAAGGGGTGTCACCCAGTGGGTGTCACCCAACACTGGTGTGACCCTGTTGACCTCAAGCCCAAGAGCTGTCACCCAATGGTGTCACCCAATGCTGGTGGCACCGTGGTGGCTCCAACCGCAGGAGGTGTCACCCCATGGGTGCCACCCAGCGCTGGTGTGACCCTGGTGCCTTCACCCCAACCGTGACCTCCTGGAAGAACCTTCCAACCCAAGCCAAGCCAAGCCAAGCCAAGCCATGGTGGCCTTCCGTAACCGCGGCTGCGGGACTGTCCCGGTTGTTTTCCTGGGAACGTCCCCGAGCCCTGGAGCTGCTGACCCAACGCTGGTGACACCATGGTGACTTCAAACCCAAGGGTGTCACCCAATGCTGGTGTGACCTTGGTGATCTCAACCCCAACAGATGTCACCCAATGGTATCACCCAACGCTGGTGGCACCATGGTGACGTCAAACCCAAGGGTGTCACCCAAGGGGTGTCACCCAATGCTGGTGGCACCATGGTGACGTCAAGCCCAAGAGCTGTCACCCAATGGTCTCACCCAATGCTGGTGGCACCATGGTGGCTCCAACCCCAGGAGGTGTCACCCAATGGGTGTCACCCAACGCTGGTGTGACCCTGTTGACCTCAAGCCCAAGAGCTGTCACCCAATGGTGTCACCCAATGCTTGTGGCACCGTGGTGGCTCCAACCGCATGAGGTGTCACCCCATGGGTGCCACCCAACGCTGGTGTGACCCTGGTGCCTTCACCCCAACCGTGACCTCCTGGAAGAACCTTCCAACCCAAGCCAAGCCAAGCCAAGCCATGGTGGCCTTCCGTAACCGCGGCTGCGGGACTGTCCCGGTTGTTTTCCTGGGAACGTCCCCGAGCCCTGGAGCTGCTGAGCTGTGGGATGAGTTTGAGGAGCACCAACTGACCTGGGCGCCGTCGGCCTCGGCCTTGAGCAGCTCGCCGGAGCCCAGCTGGTTGCAGTAGAGCCCTGGAGGCCTCAGCGCCGCGTCCGGGACCTGCCGGCGACAACGGCCGCGCTCAGCCGGAATGCCGGGACCTCGGAACGGCACAGAGCGCCGAGCGGTGGGGTTTGGGATGGATCTCGTGAGTGGTGGGGTTTGGGATGGAGATCCCGTGAGTGGTGGGGTTTGGGATGGAGATCCCGTGTTTGGTGGGATTTGGGATGGAGATCCCATGAGTGGTGGGGTTTGGGATGGAGATCTTGTGAGTGGTGGGATTTTGGGATGGAGATCTCGTGTTTGGTGGGGTTTGGGATGGAGATCCCATGTTTGGTGGGATTTGGGATGGAGATCCCGTGAGTGGTGGGGTTTGGGATGGAGATCCCGTGTTTGGTGGGGTTTGGGATGGAGATCCTGTGTTTGGTGGGATTTTGGGATGGATCTCGTGTTTGGTGGGATTTTGGGATGGATCTCGTGTTTGGTGGGATTTTGGGATGGATCTCGTGTTTGGTGGGATTTTGGGATGGGGATCCCCATGGATCAATGGGGGATCCCAACAGGGGGCTGGGATCTGCTCCAGATTTCTCCCATCTCCTTCCCACCCATTCCTGATCCTATTCCTGATGCCATTTCCAATTCCCAGGGATCCACAGCCCCATTCCCCATCCCATTCTTGATCCCATTCCTCATTCCCAGGATTCCACGGCCCCATTCCCGATCCCATTCCCCATCCCTTTCCCGAAGGATTCCACGGTCCCATTCCCGATCCCATTCCCGATCCCATTCCTGATCCCATTCCCGATCCCATTCCCGATCCCATTCCCGATCCCATTCCCAATCCCATTCCCGATCCCGTTCCTGTCTCATTCCCAATTCCCAGTGATCCACGGCCCCATCCCAGCACCTGGAACCTCTCCAGATGTTCCTGCACCTCCAACCCCACCCAGCTCCATCCCATTTCCAGTGGAAACAGGAACAGATGCACAGCCCCATTCCCGATCCCATTTCCAAAGATCCATGGCCTCATTCCCGATCCCAGTCTCATTCCCTGTTCCCAAGGATCCAGGGCCCCATTCCTGATCCCATTCCGGATCCCATTCCCTATTCCCAATGGAAATAGGAATGGATCCAGGGCCCCATTCCCAGTCCCATTCCTGATCCCATTCCCTATCCCATTCGCGATCCCACTCCCGATGCCATTCCTGATCCCATTCCCTGTTCCCAAGGATCCATGGCCCCATTCCCGATGCCATTCCTGATCCCATTCCCTGTTCCCAGTGATCCACGGCCCCATTCCCGATGCCATTCCTGATTCCATTCCCAATCTAATTCCCTAATCCAATCTCATTCCCTATTTCCAGGGATCCACGGCCCCATTCCTGATCCCATTTCCTATTCCCAGTGGAAACAGGAATAGATCCACAGCTTCATTCCCAATCCAATTCCTGATCCCATTCCCAAATCCAGTCTCATTCTCTATTTCCCGGGATCCATGGCCCCATTCCCAATCCCATTCCCAATCCCATTCTCATTCTCTATTTCCCGGGATCCACGGCCCCATTCCCAATCCTATTCCCAGTGATCCAGGGCCCCATTCCTGATCCCATTCCCAGGGATCCACGGCCCCATTCCTGATCCCATTCCCAATCTCATTCCCAATTCCCAGTGATCCACGGCCCCATTCCCGATCCCATTCCCAATCTCATTCCCAATCCCATTCCCAATGTCATCTCCTATTCCCAGTGATCCACGGCCCCATCCCCGCACCTGGAACCTGTCCCGATGTTCCTGCACCCCCATTCCCGATCCCATTCCCGATCCCATTCCCGACATTCCCGATCCCATTCCCATTCCCCTTGGGGCCAAGGGCCGCCGTGGCTGGACGAGGCTCGACATGGAGTTGATGCCGGCCATGACGGGATTCATGGGAATGCTGCCGCCCATGGCGCCCATGCCGGGAACGCCGGGAACGCCGCCGGAGCCGCCGGAGCCGGAGCCGGGGCCGGGTCCGGCCATGGAGACGGTGATGCTCATGTTGTTGTACATCCCCTGCGGAGCCGCCGCGCCCGCCGGCCCGAAAACGCTGGAAAACCGGGAAAAAGCGTCGGGAATGGCCGGGATCCCGAAAGAATCCCGGCATTCCGAAGGGTTCCCGCGGTGGGATGGTGGAGGTTCGGTTCCGGCGCGCTCCAGTCCCACGTCCTGGGGCCGTGCAAGATTTCCTCGGATGCTGTCGGGGATTTTCTGGGAATTCCTTCCCGAATTCCTCCTCCTTTCCCAGGGGATTCCCTTTGTTCCGTGAGGAATTGGGATTCAGGGAATTCCAGGATGGTTTGGGGGGGAAGGGACCTTAAGGAGGAACCCTGGGAATACTCCAGGATCTGATTTTTCCTTGGGAAAATTCCAAGGATGACGGCCACGGATTCGCTGGGAATTCCAGCCCAGCTGGGAATTCCTTCCCAAATCCCTCCACTTTTCCCAGGGAATTCCCTCCATTCCCAGCTCTCCCAGCCTGGCATTGGATCCATCCCCATCCCGACTCCTCTCCAGGAAGGAATTTTAGGAATTCCCTGAGAACTGGGGACTCCAGGAAGGGTCTCCCTTCCCGTTTCCATCCCCAAATCCCTTAAAAATCCCTGGGGATGGATCCTGAGTGTCCTGGATCCAAGAATCCTGGAATTCTTTGGGATGGGATCCATGGAGCTTCAATCCCACCCCATTCCCATCCCGAACTGCTCCAGCCTTTCCTGGGACATTCCCAGGGATTCTCTGGGAATTCCAGCCCAGCCGGGAATTCCTTCCCAAATCCCACCCCACTCCCCCCTTTCCCTGGAGCTGCTCCCATTCCCAAATCCCCATGCCATTCCCGATCCCAATCCCATTCCCAGGGATCCACGGCCCCATCCCAAGGGCTGGAATTCCTCGGGATGCCTCTGCACCCCCAAGGCCGTCCCGGCTCCCAGGGAAGGGATCTTGGATCCTTCGGGAATTTCCTGGATAATCAGCACTCGGTGTCCTCCGGAGCGAAGATTTTTGGGATTTTGGGATGGGGATCCACATGGAACAATGGGGGATCCCAACAGGGGGTTGGGATCTGCTCCAGCTTCATCCCAACCCCTTCCCGATGCCATTCCCGATCCCATTCCCCATTCCCAGGGATCCACGGCCCCGTCCCAAGGGCAGGAGGTGATTCCAAAGGGAGATTCCCATGGATGACTCCACAGAATGATTCCAAAGGATAATTCCAGGGGGTGACTCCCACGGATGATTCCAGAGAATTATTCCAACGGGTGACTCCCACGGATGATTCCAATGGGTAATTAATTCCAATGGATAATTCCCATGGACAATTCCAATGGGTGGCTCCCATGGATAATCCCAATGGACAATTCCAAAGGATGATTCCAATGGATAATTCCGATGGATGATTCCAGTGGGTAATTCCAAAGGATAATTCCAAAGGATAATTCCCACATATAATTCCAATGGAATATTCCAATGGATGATTGCAAAGAATGATTCCAATGGATTATTCCAGTGGATGATTCCCACGGATAATTCCAATGGAAAACTGCAGTGGATAATTCCTGTGGGTGACTCCCATGGATGATTCCAAAGGATAATTCCAAAGGATGATTCCAATGGATGATGCCAAGGGATAATTCCCATGGAAAATTCCAAGGGATAATTCCAAGCGATGCCTCCAATGGACAATTCCACTGGATAATTCCAGTGGGTGATTCCCGTGGGTGAGTCCAATGGAAAATTCCAACGGACATTTCCAAAAGATGGCTCCAGTGGATGATTCCAAGGGATAATTCCAAGGGGTGACTCCAATGGATAATTACTTCCAAAGGATAATTCCACAGGAGAAATCCAATGAGTGACTCCCGTGGATAATTCCAATGGATTATTCCAAAGGGTGACTCCAATGGATAATCCCAACGGATAATCCCAAGGGATAATTCCAATGAGTGACTCCCATGGATAATTCCAATGGATAAATCCCCTGGACATCTCCCATGGACGATTCCAATGGATAATTCCAAAGGATTCCTCTCATGGATAATTCCCATGGGTAATTCCAATTAATAAATCCAACGGACAATTCCAACAGATAATTCCCATGGAAAATTCCAATGGGCAATCCCAATGGATGATTCCAGTGGATAATTCCAATGGGTGACAATCCCAAAGGACGATTCCAATTGACAATCCCAATGGATAATTTCAAAGAATTATTCCAAGGGACGATTCCATGGGACAATCCCAATGGACATTCCAATGGCCAGTCCATATTTCAGGGACGATTCCATGGGACAACCCCAATGGACATTCCAATGGCCAGTCCAAAAGGACAACACCAATGGACGGCCCCAAAGGACAATTCCCACGGATAATTCCAATGGACAATCCCAATGAGTGACCCCAATGGACAACCCCAAAGAACAATCCCAATGGACAATTCCAAAGGGTGATTCCATTGGACAATCCCAATGGACAATCCCAATGAGTGACCCCGATGGATGATCCCAATGGACAATTCCAAAGGATGATTCCATTGGACAATCCCAATGGCTAATCCCAATGGACAATCCCAATGGGCAATTCCAATGAAAAATCCCAATGGCTAATTCCATTGGACAATCCCAAT